ATAGAGCCGGACAATTGAGTCAAGTGCGGTAGTAGGCGTGAATCGTTCGTTGTGAATTATAGCGTTTGTTAAGTTATTAAAGTGACTATGGAAATTAAGTGTATTGCAAAGTTGTATTGAGAAAGAATAAACTAGTTTTATTTAAGGAAGGATTTGTATTGCTAAAGTTTTTCGTAAAGAATTTCTACGGAAAATTAACAAACGAACAGAGACGTAACAGTTTATTTGACCGAGTGAAACAGCCGCATCCATTAAGGATGAAGTCTAGGACTCGCCTTTAAGGCCGTAGAAGCTCTGGGTCCTAGATTCAATTTTATGCATTCTCCTGTTTTCCTGAGAGTAATTTTCTTACTTTTGATTCATTTTTACTGGGACAGATTGAAAAGTGGGGGACCATGGCCCGCTTCCTACGCCACTGTGATTACTTGAGCTCTATAAATGCAGAAATGTTGTCATATCATGCTTAGTCTGCAAGAGAATAAGTCATAGAGTTTGGGGTTTTAATGTACTTTGATTTCCTTCTAGCTGCTTTTGTCATTTTATGTAGATACACCTATTCTGCTCATGGAGTACATGGTTATAAAGCTACATGTTGTTCAAGAATATTAACAGCCAGTGACCTCTAATGGCAGGTATGATGATATCTCGAGGTTACAGCCTCCCCTGTATTACATGAGAACGACCAATCATGTGGTTACCACTAGTCCTTATGGATAAGCAAGTACACAGACATGTTTTTCTATTGGCAATAAATAGAGAAAATTTTATATATATGTTGAAGATTTCTTTAACGTATATACACGATCATTAAACAGTTGGACCGCTGTATAATATCAAATAGTGAATTCGACGAAATGTCATAACATTATTGACATACCTAATTTAATGTAGGTTACTATATGATGAAGTAAAACGGAATCAAAACCCCATACAAAGAACATTTTAATTTTGCATACATCGTGTCCAGCCTGTTCATTTCTTTGCTTAAACTCAATTAGTTTGGTTAAATTAAGTATTACATATTTTGAAATTTATCCTTCTGATCCTCCTGTATTAAAGAGAAAAATCAGTTTGGCCTTAAAATACCACAAGAGTATTCCATTAAAAACCAGAACTTTATTACGTCTACCCTATCTAAAATATTCTTGAAACAAACAATTGGGTTACCACAAAGAAGCATTATTAAAGTGCGTCAGAAACTACTTTTTAGTAGTTTATATAGTAATGTAAATTTATGGGTGTGTTGGGCTAAGGATTCTTCTACAGTAGGTGTCTGTGACTTTTTGGTGATAAATTCGATAACGAACAGCACTCCACTTGTTTTTAATATAATATATTCGAAACAAGTTAAACATATGTACAAAATTGTTTACACTATGGAGATCAGAGTTGTATCTGAAACACCTTACAGTTATCTCCTTCTTTTCAAAAACGACTTAGGCGCTGTCGTAACACATCTTTATGTTGTGTTTGTTTTTCATTTCTGCAGGTCCCTGGTTTGAATCCCGTCAGTGAGCATGCTGGTCCTTTCAGCTATGTGAGGGTTATAATGTAATGATAAATACCACTTTTCGTTGCTAAAGAGTAATCCTAGAGTTAATGGTGGGTGGGGTCAACTAGCTGCCTTTCCTCCAGCTTATCACTTCTAAATGGCCCATCATGACTAGGTGGTTAGGGCGCTCGACTCTAGTCTTACACTACTAAATTAGGGAGGGCTAGTGCAGATAGCCCTCGTGTAGCTTTGCACAAAATTCAAAACAAAATACTTCTAAATTAGGGACAGATAACTCTCAAAAAGCTTTGCATGAATTCAACAAACAAACTAACAATCCTACAACAAATCACTACATTTGTTATTTCAAATACTGGTTCCACTTACCTCTCTTTGTGTGCGTGGTTCATCCGAACTCTAAATATAACACCACACTGTGTCAGATATAAAATACTGTTTAGTGTAGGTAGTATTAGTAATTAATTTATTTTGTGTTTGTAATTCATTGATGTCGAGTCTATTGAACATTGTGTTTGCAATCCACTGATGTCAAGGTTATGAAGATTTCTAGAAGGCCTAAATGATAGACGTATAAATAGCTGCGACCAGACGAGCGGAAACAGAGTAAAAGTAAAGTTACTTGAAAGAGAACTTTGGTCAGAGAAAAGTTAGAAAACGTAAGGTTAACCGTCGTGGGAGTGATGGCCTAAGGGTTGATATGTTAGAGTGAGATTAACAGCTTGAAAGAGATAAGGAGAATAATTTGTCTCGTTAAAGAGTGTTCTAAACTAATTGAGCCCGCCTGTGTGGACTTTGAGAAAAGGCAGATGATTATTAAAAGTGCGAAGAACAGACAATTATTGGAAGTACAAAAAGCAGACGATTATTGGTAGTTCAGGATACCATTGCGGTAACTCACACGACAGCGTAAATGAATTATACATGGATAATATTTCGATAAAAATAGAGAAAAATAGTTTGGCTTGTCAATTGAATTCTAAAGCAATTGAATTGGAAGTCACGTGACGCTAGTAACACATCATGAGATTCTAGAAGGAGCATGTCTGTTCCTGGCAACTCTAGTCTTCTCTACGCGATCTCTATATTTGTATATATAAGCCGCCAAGAGAAGTGACGAGATAGATAATTGCAGACAGGCAGAGATAGAGCCGGACAATTGAGTCAAGCGCGATAGTGACCGTAAGTAAAATGCGTTAATCGTTGTGAATTATAGCGTGTGTTTAAGTTAAAGTGACTGTGGAAATTAAGTATATTGCAAAGTTGTATTGAGAAAAAATAAACTAGTTTTATTTAAGAAAGGACTTGTGTCGCTAAAGTTTCATCCGAAAGAAATTATACGGGAAATTAACAAACGACCAGAGACGTAACAGATGCAACAAAGCATAAACACTTTATGTACAGAGGATAAGAGATCGTTGATATATGAATCATCTATTGACGAAGAAGTGCTACTATTAAAAGATGAGATGAAATAAAATAAACTAGTGAAATTAGAAATAAATAACAAAATAAGGAAAATGAAATTGGTTCTTTTTGAATGTAGACTAAAGGCGGGAAACTTTATTTTAAAATAATTGAAGAGTATTGGTGGATTGTAAAATGAAATAAAAAACACATATGATCAACAAAGAAATCGCAGACGAAATTTCTCAGCAAATTCACCACTCTTACAAGACAGAATCGAATCTACTTGAAAAAGGTCAAAACTATTCGCACTATATGCATTTTGCATGAGTATATGTAGTTCACCAACAAAAATATTTAAATAATAAGTGTCCGAATTCATTTTTACTCCCTGTGACAGCCGCAAAACAGTCATACATACACAAAACAATACAGGATATAATACAACCATCGTATGAAACAGTAGTAGATAACCACCTTGAT